GTGTTGATCCAGCCACCGAGCCAAGATGTTGCCGGTGCGCCTGTAGGAGGTGTTACCCATGAGCTGGGTAGACTGAGTCTGAGGATCTCGCCCATGGCGGCGGCTATAGTTGGGAAGATGAGAGCACCGAGGATCGTGTCTGCGAGGGAGGTGGTGGAGAAAGTTACGCCGCGTTCGCGTCGAACACGTCGGGGTCGGGGTGCGGCAGGTTGCATGGGAATGTTGGGTGGAGGTGCTGCGTGTTGCTGGTGTTCGACGTCGACGAGATCAGGCATCTCGGCGTCGTCTTGATCGTCTTGCGGTGGCGCGTCGATGGGTCCTGCTGGGCCTCGCGCGACGGGTACGGGAGGATGTTCGTGCGCGTCGTCGTCATCGTCGTCGTTGTCGGCTTCGCCGTTGTTATTCCAGTCTGCGAAGATGTCGAAGTCGAGTTCTATCTCTACTTCTTCAATCACATCCTCGTCACCTCCGTGGTCGTGGTCATGGTCGTGGTCATGTTGTACCTGAGCATCTGTGGCTACGTCCTCGCCAGCACGGGGCTGGATCTCCTTCAGCCACTGCTGCTCTCGTGGTAACCACACACGCTCGTAATATGCGTTGTAGAACCCTCGAAGATATGGTAGTGCGGCAAATGTGAACGCGGCGCTCGGTGGCCATTGTAGTTGTAGCATATCATCGCCTGGTTGTCCGGAGCTAACGAAGAAGATGAGCGGAAGGAAGGGTAGGAAGGAGTCTGCGAATGAAGTTCGACTTGCGACCAAAACTGTCGGAATCAACGGCAACCCAAGATCTAACCTCCAGTGCTGCCTCAGATGCTCCAGCCACTGCAATGTCACCGAGTTGACCGACCGACTCGGGGTCTCGTAGAGCGGGCCGAGAATTTGCAGCGCATCTTGCGTGCCGAATATCTGGTATATCGTTGCCGTCCCGGATAGCGTCAGTGTCGAGTAGAGCGCTGTGCCTGTGACGAGCGCGAAGCCCGGAAGCAGGAGGTTACCCGTAAGCTTCTCAACGCCCCGAACCATGTCCACCACGTAGCTCCTCGGTCGCTCTATTCTGATCTCGCTCTTGCACTGAGGGCATAATATCTGCCCTGCTGCTTTACCAGCCCGTCGCCGTGAGCTGGGCGCCTCCATATCCGCTATCCAGTCTAGCAAGCACCGCTCGTGCGCCACTAGTGAGCAGGCGCAAGGCGACCTCCACTCCGATGTCGTTTCGTCGTCTTCCGTCTCGTCGTTGAAGCAGATCCAGCATCTTCGCGGTTCGTCGTCTTCGTCTAATTGTGGCGCGGTGGTCTGTGTGGGTACCTCGGTCTGTTCTTGCGGCGTAGAAGAGGCTGACTGCGTGGATGGCGTATTGAGTAGCAACGTCTGCGAATCTACCGATTGCCCAGAGAAGCTGTTCGTCCGTTCTGTTTGCTCCTGCTGTGAGGACGATGATTCGGCAGGAGGTGAGGGTCTATGTTGCGACGCGGGGCGCTGAGGCGGAAGCGACGCCATGACGGCTGATAGTGTGCGAGGAGGATCGGAAAGGCGCGTGATCGGTCGAACAGGAAGGATAAAGATTGTGGCTCTGGTCTCTGGAAAATTTGACACGATACAGCGAGTGCAGTCAGGTTGTCGCGAGAACGGGTGCGAGGGTTGAACTGCGGCTCGGTGTTTGTTGATTAGAGTTGCCGAAAGATCTACAAGACGTCACTAACTCCCTGTCACCTGTAGCGTGCCAAGTCTAAGCACGTGCATACCAACTTCATCTTCCCTCCATCATGCCGTAAGAAGCCTACATCAGTATGAAAAGCGACATTCAACCACATACCAAGGCAATGTAGACTTCTTGAGGTAAGTGTTTCATTCTTACAAAACAGAAGTGCAGTACAAAATCATCCACCATCTCATCCTATCTCCCTCCGGAGCCTTCTCGGTTCCCTACACAGCCACATATCCTACACCATCTCATCACCCCTAGAACTATACATGTCAGCAAGCATCATTAGATCGAAATACAACAATACTTACAGGCGGATACATCCCCCTCAGATGAGGCGGCGGAACCGGTCCCCAGACCCACGTCGGCGCCTGGCCCGGTTGAGGTACTCCCAAGTACTGCGGCACATGACCTCCTGGTAGACCTTGAGGCACTACGTCCCCGCCCATCGCAAACCCATAAGGGTGCGGGGCGACGACATTACCAGCCACTTGGCTGTTTTGACGTCGATGACCCTGATGTGGGCGCCCGGGTCCACTGTTCTGGCGCCGATGGCGAGACATGCGCTTGGTAAGCTTTTTCAGCTCCTTCAGCTGGCCGTTGACGAGATGGCGGTGCTTGAGCGTGTTGGGTGAGTCGGTAAAGGATGGGTCCGCAACATCTGGGATGTTTGGATCTTGGTTGGAGCCGTTTTCGTGGAATGGCGAGCCCACTTCTTGCATTTCGTGTGGGTCGTGGGCGGAGCGGGTTTCGAATGGCTCTGCGACCGCTGGAGAAGCGTGGAGAGCTGGTGCTGGTGAGTTGTCTTGCGGGGCTGTAGCGTTCTTTCGGGCACGCCTTGGTGGATCCAGACGCCAGTGTGATGTGATACTGTCGACGTCCGAGAGGCTTCGAAAGCTGTGGTATGAGCCGACCTCATCATCGTCCTCCTCTTGGTTTTGTCCTCCAGCCGCAGCATTCTCGTTCTCAGCGACCTTGACCCAGCCAGTCCCCTCTACGTACGCCAATTCGTATTGCGGAATAGCAGAATACGCACATACCTCCTGATCCACCTGATCGCCATCTGCCTTCAAACACTCTCCACAGTCGGCGCGGGGTTCTACGAGCACGCACTTGTTGTGAAACTCCAACGTTCCAGGGCAGTCGAGATGGCCGCAGTGGAGGTAATCGATCAAGTGCTCGCGGGGGCCGTCGTTGTGCACTACGAACCACATAATACACATGGTAGCGGTGTTGGAAGGATGAAAACGTGGGAGTAGGAGAAGCGATTGCTGGTTCGGGCTGGAAGCGGGCCAAAATGGTTGTTGCAAGATGATTGCGTTCAAGGTCAAGTGAGGAGACAAGCTGTGTTGTTGACGGGGTGGTCAGGCGTAGCAACGGAGAGAATAGCTGCACGGACCAATTGTGTAGCGCGATGTCGCGGGCAGCAAACGGAGAGATCAAGGGAGGCGCGTCTGGCTGTTGCGTTTGCAGTAGTGGAATCGAACTTTCGAGATCAAGTTCTACTGGCGGCTACTAGATACGACTGCGCTGGCCGATGAAAAGTTGACAATGGGTAGTATATAGAAAAAACGTACGGATGGTTCAAGTCGGGATAAAGTGAAAGCAGTGATTACTCTAACATCTAACACATAGGATCGATAGTGGTATTACCATCCCTCAATCGTGAAGTCAAAAGCCCTGTCTCCCTTACCCTTCTCAATCGGTTTCACGTCGCTGTCATACAGCGTCCTCTCGAAATACGTCACCTTGCCTTCCTTGTCGCAGAGCACTACGATGTTCTTCTGGGTACCATAGCACCCACTCGTAGCGTCCACCGCCTTCACTTTGACCAAGTCGCCGATCTCATGCGCAGGCATCTTGTGCTCTTCAAGATGGTCCCTTCCGATAGCCGGTATAAAGATACTATGACGGAGCTGGTTGAGATACATGTCCCACTCCTCATTCTCTTTCTGTCGAGGCATGGTGTCCGTGGTCAGGATGTCAATGAGACGATTGATAAGCTGATCTCGAGATTCATTCGCGGCGACGGACTCCGCAATTGCGGTGCGCGTCCAGGTTTCTCCGTTTGTTACTTTGGGCCAGCTGCGGTCACTGTAGGCGGCGTTGCTGAGAGCTCGAGTTTCATTTGGTGTTTGCAGGAGATGGACCACACCGTGAACGTCTGGAGTGCGGTTGCTGACGATCGCCAGACCCTTTCCTTCTTCTTTGACGACATCCTGGATGAATCCATAGCAGAGCGAGAAACCTCCTACACCTTCAACACCATCCTCTTCGATCATTCGTTTCGCGAAACCTTCTGTGCTCTCCCCTTTCTTTGGGTCGATCTTCAGCCAAGCGTTTGGAATCAATCCTCTGCTTCGCGCTCCCTCAACAATGGTTTGGTCCTCTTCACGGTAGTTGGTCAATACTGCGATTCGGCCTTGACGAGTCACACCTAGCCAGGTGCCGTGAGCAGGGCGGTGGAGATCGTAGCCTCCTAAGACTTGCGAATCTGGAGATGGCCACCATGTTGCTTCTGCCGTTGGACGGTGAAGGTACTCCTGATCTGTGTCAGTTGTGGGAGAGAAACACTGAAGCCTAACAAACGTACGTCGCGATTGTTGAGTAGAATGAACGGGTAGTCTGGGTGCGCGGTCGTAAGTATAGCGATGCACATTTTGATGGATGTATTCTGGTTGTAAGAGAGTTTGTGAGTTGAAGTGTGACAACGCGGTGTTCTGTGGCGTTGAAGTTTCGGGGAACGACGGAATAAGCGCAAAGTTTACCGAAGTGCAGTGTGAGCGGTGTGAATGGATGCCAGCAAGTGCTTAAACGTTCAATTTTATACGTGGTTCCAACCGTACAGGATGTGTAGTGAGGTAGGAAGACACATGGCGAGATAAAGCTTCACCGGAGGCGGGATCTGATGTCCCTGTGACATAAGGAGTGCGACCTCGAGCCAGCGTCGGGATGGCGGCGTCACTTTACTTGACATTGACTTGTCGCACTTGCGTTAGCACGCAGTTCACTGCGAGGTACTCAACAGCTGTGTGAGCCGTCGTTTTCTAGAGACGTCGCACAGCATGACTGTTCCTGCAGTAGAGTGACACGGCGGAGATGGCCGAAAGCGATCATTCACGTGCCAACGGCAGAACCCCGGCCCATCTCGAGCTCGGATCCCTGCCAAACGTCACAGCCCCGGTTACACCTGCCTCTGCGTCAGCCCTATCTCTTGCACCAAACTTCGCAAGACCCAGGAATTGAGCGACAAGCTCCTCATATACTGCATACGTCTTCCAAGCAAGGAAACTATAATGGCAGCCAACTTCGCCCCATACCAAGACATTCCCGAATCGTCACGCGCGCTCTCTCCACCGCCCGTCCACTCGCCGAGGACATCTATCGACCGCACACGTAACATCACATCGCCCACCACACGCGCATACGAACAGCATGACTACTTTCAAGGTCAATCGCCTATATCGCCGCCCGCAGAACCCGATACAGAGCGCATAGCATGGGACCAGCCTTCGCGGAGCACAGGCTTCGGCCGTTCGCGCGAGGATGTAGACATGTTCACAACGTCTTTAGGCTGGCGACTGGACTATGAAGCGTGCCTGGCATACCTTCTACTACCGCCAGCGGGTGGTGTGTTACTGCTGGTTCTGGAGCACCAAAGCGACTATGTTCGGTTCCACGCCTGGCAAAGCAGCTTGCTGTTCGCTTTCGTCTTTGTGGTGCACATTATATTCAGCTGGTCGAGCTTCATCTCCTGGGTGCTGTTTATCGGAGATCTAGCGGGGATAGGGTGGTTGACTTGGAGGGCATATCTGGATGGTGGGTCCAAGGTGTGAAAGCTAGAATGGAGCCAGTCGCTAACATGTGGACAGCCGCAACACTCGATCGATACGAAGTACCCTTCTTTGGCCCGCTGGCCAGCTCGATACTCGATGACGAATAGGGTGGCATGTGGAGACGGAGGATAATGTCGATATGAGCAAGCATGGCGTTTACGGAGTTTCTGACAGCGACGATCTTCAGTCGGCTTGAAGTGAGATAGACTTTGACAATGCGATATTGTGTTCCTGACAGTCTAGCGATTGTCACCCTTGAAGATTATCGTCAATGCTCATCCGACAAGCCAAGAGGTCTCTGAAAGGTCGAGGCACTCGCTAAGCTTGCGACGCCGTATGCTAGAGCAGTGAACAACGTCAGCAACGGTGTAGCATGGACCGCACATCATTCCGCTGCCATGAATCTTTCGCGTTACAGATATCGCTCTGCGGAGAATGTCCCAAGATTCACTGCTTTCTCATCATTGCAGCCTAGACACCAACGAGTCTCCGTCCGTCACAACCACACCACAAGCGCCCCAAACGATGAATACAAGAACTTCCACCGCTACGACAGCGGCCGCAAGCTCCGGATCGAGAAGAAATGTTCATGTGAACGCAACAATAGTGTCGACATTCCCGCACTACACAAGGTGGCCGCCAAGAGTGTCGGCGCAGTGTTTGATTGATGTAGCACGGTATGTTGCGAACTCTCAAAGCTTCTCTTGCTTCGCCGGTCTAGTGGCTAACGTGCGGTTGTAACAGTTACTGGAATGATATCAGCAGCTCGATGCCCCGTCCTATATCCTTTACGCAAGAACAGATCGAAGCGCATATCCGTGACAGCGAAGGCTAGGAAGATGACCGAGAATGGTGAAATCAAAGCGAGGTCTTATCGTTCAGAATGGGTGGACGACGAACGAGTCGTATGAAACGCTTGTGAAGCATGATGGAGAGTACTGCGCCCAAGACTGATCGAAAAAGATTGAGATATTGGGGTATGATGTATTGATAGACGAAGGATAACACCTGTATAATGATTTCAAGCCCAAAGTGCGTCAAACTTGCAGACAAATGTACTTCGCCAAAAGCGGAGATTGATCCGAATAATAGCGCACATTTCTCAGTCGCACATAGTTACTCCAGACATGGAAGACGGCCAAGCTGACGGAGTTCCATCATTTGAAACTCGCTCACAGCACGGCGGCTGGAATAAAGCCTTCTGTGTGATATCATACAGAAACGCCAGAGAAAGGAAAAGGGTGCAAAACCGCTGATCGGTTGAGACATCAATTCGGCATCCTTCAATCGGATGGATACGCCGCTCACCAAACACCTTGTGACGATATCTGACTGACTCCGTAGTCCCCATATGGTCGGTGCATACATGGAGTATCCCGCGGTATGAGCGGCAAAGCATACGAATACTCAGTGTCAGACACGAGGGGCGATATAAAGCATGCGATGTAACGTCGTAATTGTAGATGCGCAGGTCCGTTATCACTGGAAGGGTTATCCGCGCGAAGTCCAATCGCGAGTTGAGAACGTATCGCGAGATCGAGAGTTCAGTTTGAACGCGCAAGACGGATACAACTATGCCTATTGAGCATACGCAGAAGGTGCGTTTACAGCAATTCAGGACGTTTTCGGCCACCTGGAGATCTGTTGCATCGTAATCGACAACCACGTCTGATCCGTCGCCACACAACGAAAGCAGCGAAAAGACGCGATCTCGTATCACACCCGAAACCTTGTACTTGAACTGTTCCAAAAGATATATCAAGCTCCTCCCTCGAAGTTCTGATGCTTTCCGTGGATCCAATGCCTGGATGCGATGGTGAGAGTACTGATTATAGTCGAAGATGATTGAACTTCCTGCTAAGCTTGCCTTGCCAGCCATGAATGTGATGTGGCGGGCCAGCGCGACTTCTTGAGTGATCCACGCACGATCCCAATAATCAGCGTGACAAAAGGGACGAAATCCATCCGCGTTGGCTTGTGCAATTCGTGCATCATGACGATCTTCATCTTCATCTGAAGAGCCAAGGGGCGCACATGTGTTTCCTACTGTAATCCCTGCTTTTCCCCTGCATCTTTTCAAGCTCTTTTGTGCAACGTCCACACACTCTCCCAGAATCTTCGAGGTCTCTAAAAAGGTAACGATCCACTCATGCATACCGAGCCACGCTACCACCTGGACAGCCCCTGCAAAGATGTCTCCCATCTGCTTAACCTGATGGTTTTTTTCAGTGGAGTTACTCTGATCTATGCAGATAGCATCTATCCAGAACCAATGAGATTGCCACTGCGGCTGCTGCCTTGCCTCTTCCAGGAAGTTGTAGAGATTCTTTCGAATCCGAAAACGCTGACCATTAACGAGAATCCATTGGAAGCTGTCGTCAGCGCCCCAAACGTAGGACAGGCAGAGGTAAGTGCTCGCCGTCGAAGCATGTCGCATTTGGCATTGGATGAAGCCATCCGATGACTTTGAAGCCTGTATGCGAACGAGACGGATAGAAGGCGCACAATAGTTGATGGGCGAGTGGATGAAGTCCGTCGGCGATTCGGTGGGAACTGTAGGACTCTGATTGGCGGGTGAGGATCGGGCCTCAGCATCTTCCATCGTAATGTGAAGGGATTGAAATTAAATGGTAAAGTGCTGCTACTACTGATCAACCAGAATATCATGGAGGACAGGAGCGTAATAAGAAAGAGAAATGTGCATTTGATCAGGCTGCCAACAGGTGGCTGCTCGTTGTAGGCTGAGGCATCACGTTGAGCGGGGCAGTGCAGGCTGCTGGAGGCCAATAACCACAACCTGCCCATTTTCCTTTCAGCCTCGTCCGTAACTGTTACGGCTCAACCTTCTTCTACATTTCGGGCGACTCTGGAATGCGAAAACCTGCGAAAATCGGTAGCTTCACAGTTGGCCGATGGTGCGATGTTTACCGGTTCCCAGCTGGTGGCAGGATGTCATAACGGTTCCAAGGTTTGTCCGAGGCAGCAGCATACGCGAAGCAGTTCGCGCAATGCATCGATAAGAGGCAAGAGCAGTCAACCCGTGTGTTTATACGTAGCTAAGGAGGTGAAGCGACAGAAGGAGAACGCTTCTAAAGCTACCTGAGCACCATGGACGGCTTCGACTCGGCCAGGAATCGGCAACCTCGGCAGCCGCTCCTGCTAACGCCGCCTACCTCCATGCCGAAATGCATAGGTAATCATTCATCTCGACCTTAGTCCTCAGGAAGTAAAATAGTTGCAGAGAATCCCCCGCTTTCCAAGTTGAAACGTTAACATTGCGTGCGCGGTAGGTATGCTGCAGCAGGTCAACGTACCCCCGAATACCGCCGAACAACAGGTGCAACGCCTGGTTCACGGAGGATTGTCCGCAATGTTCTCGAGGTCGCTTCTGCCTTACTATATGCGCTATCATGTACTGCTCACCCTTTGCTGTCTACCAATCCTCATGCCGACGAATGCCAAAACGTATAATCAAGAGGCAGTAGTGGCTAAAATCAGACTGCGTAACTCATGAAGATGCTGCGTGGTAGACTACCTAGTCTAGGATGGCCGGGCTCACTAAGCATCGGTCCGGCTACCAGAAATCTCAACGTTCACTAATCACCCACCGGGCCATGCTTAGATCCCGAGGTCGACTGATCAGTCTAGGTGTTTCAGCAGAGTGCGCCCGTAACTCTCAGCATCGGACGAACAAACTCTCCTTCTGGCCAAATTGCATCATTCGTATGGAACTTTTCCTCACCAGCACGAGCACGCCAGCAAGGACCAAGAGATTGTTAAGCATGCTCGGCCTCGGGGTTTATCACCTCTTCTATTTCAGGTCGGAGCCTACATAAGGAAGAGGTGTATCGTGTGGATCATAACATTACAGCTCTCTACCCAATTGCTACACATTCGACATCATCACAGCAGCCACCACAAACCAAACCATGTCTACATCCATTACCTATCTGATCACCGGAGCCAACCGCGGCATCGGCAAAGGCTTCACCCAAAGCCTGCTCCAACGCCCAAACACAACTGTGATTGCCGCAGTCCGAGACGTCGCCAAGTCCACCCCAACACTGGAGTCTTTGTCCAAGGCCTCGGGTTCTAAACTCGTCATCGTCAAACTCGACTCATCTGCCGAAGCAGACCCCAAGAATGCTGTCGCGCAGCTCATATCCGAGCACGGCATCACCTCTCTCGACATTGTGATTGCCAACGCCGGAATCGCGCACTCGGGAACAACCATCGCCAACACCTCATCCGAGGCACTCCGCGACCACTTTGCCGTCAACACCATCGGTCCTATCCTCCTCTTCCAGGCCGTCAAGCCACTTCTCCAAGCTAGCAAGTCCGGCAACCCCATCTTCCTTGCCATCTCCACGGTCATCGGCAGCATGGGCGCCCAGGCAGGTCTCGCTGGCTTCCCAGAGGTTTTCAGCCCGTACGGATCTAGCAAGGCCGCACTGAACTGGGCTGTGAACAGGATGCATTTCGAGGAGCCGTGGCTCACATCATACGTGACTCATCCCGGTTTGGTGGTGACAGATATGGGGAATACTATGGGTCCGCCTGAGGCGTTGAAGGCCGCGGGTGCTATTACTGTTGAGCAGAGTGTGGGCGGGGTTTTGAGCACGCTGGATAAGGCGGAGAGGTCGATCTCGGGAACGTTCCAGAATTGGGATGGGACGACGCTGCCGTGGTAGGGACTAGTTGGGACATAGAAAATAAACGAGTGTTTAACAGCGACGCTTCCAACTTGATAGTTGTATAGCACGAGAAGTTCAAACTATTCTGGTTGAGAACAAAGTCGCAATACAGACTGATGCAGCTTTGTACCTTGAGTTCTAACGACCCCGCATGGATCTGCATCTACTGAGTCGCGTGCTATCTCGATCAAAGAACTGAATTGGAACTCGATCCTACAGGTATCTCCTGTAGGTATCAAAGTAAGATGATGATGCCGACTCTTCTGCGGTGGACTCCACCACCAAGTTCGCGCTCTATCCTTGTTTATGAATTTTGGCGTTGGACGTGTATTAAGTTTTTCCATGTCAAACCCCACTTTATCGCACCTAAATCGAGACTCTCCTACTGCAACCATCTCGATACGGGTAAGGTT